CCAAGAGGCGGCCACCTGGGTTCCAGGTCCCAGGCGCCGTGAAGGGCTTGGAGGAGAGAGAGGAGGGGGAGAGGGAGCGGAAGAGGGCAGGAGAAGGTATTGGGAGGAGGACACGACCTGACACGCGCCAGCGCTCCGTGAGCCACAGCGTAAACGCAAGCGCAGCCTGCTGCATCACAGATGGCATGGGGCTCTGACTTTTTTCCCCTCCAAGAAGGACCGGTGGCAATGACGAGTTAACAGCCAATGACGTGCCCAAAGTCGCAAAACGCACAAGAGTGGAAACGACCTGACACGCGCCAGCGCTCCGTGAGCCACCGCGTAAACTCGAGCGCCAGGAAGCAGAAAAGGAGCCGAAGGCACGAAGACCCCGCGTGCCGACGAAGCCAAGACAACGCCAATGTCCAGCCATGCCCTTGGAGCCCAACTCCAAGCGAGCCCGACATGGGGCTCTGAAAATCGCAGCGTCGTCTCCAGAAGGGGTTCCACCCGCAATGCCCCGCCAGCCTGGGCGCGAGGGCGGCCCACGAGGACCCCCGCCGTTCGCCCCTGCGGGGGGCTGCCGGAATGCGATGCCTGCCCTCATCTCAGCACATGGCAGTTTTTAACGCATTGGATTTTTAAAAGTATAGGAATTTTAATACATGACTCATGTATGAATAAGTTTATGCATGAGCTCATCGTTGTTTTTGATACCAAATCCCTGCATCTTTGATACATGATCCGCACGCGGAGTATGTATTAAAAACGGCACTGTACGAAGCGTGGTGAATCGTTTTGCATACGAGTTGGCCAGGGCACGGAGTGGCTGAGTATGGGTGAAGTTGGGTGGTGACTGACCAGGTCAGAGCGATCGCGAGTGCACGTGACCTCACGTACTGAGTCGGTCTGAGCAGGAGTGGGTGGGTCTGGGACGTGGTGGGTCTGGGTATGAGTGAGCCTGAGCGCGTGTGAATCGGAGAAGAAACGAGTCTTCGTGTGAATGGGTATGCCTGCGAGAATCGGTCAGAATCCCAAACCAGCCTTTTTTGGCGTGAGTGGTTTAGAAAGTTTCTTCCTCCAACCCTTTTTTCCCCCTTTCAGGGAAGTGTTTATCGCTGTTCCCTAGCTATAAACACACCCTCCCCCACGCGACTAGCAGCCAACCCGGACCAATGAGAACATCCCCCGCCATCCCTGATACAAAAACGATACAAAGTGCAATTTGCTTCCAAATTTGGAGCATGCGCGGGCGCCCCGCGACCACTTTGCACTAGTTTTGACAGACACGGCGAGGGTGCCGCGCATTGCTCGCTGCGCGCAGGCAAACCATCCCTGTTAACAAACAATACATACGGTACATTACAACATACACTTTGGCTCCAAATCTGAAGCATGCGCAGGGCCCTCTTTTCTCTGAGCCCTCATCTGTTTCACGACTCGCTAAGATGTCACAATTTGTCCATCGGTGTCGGTGCTTTGCGCTGCCTGGAGCAGCCGCCCTTCTCACAGAATGCTCGGCACTTCGCTTAAGGGGTATTCAGGATCCTGCACTGCGTGGGGCCAGGGCCCCAGGCACCTGGGGTCCCTGTTGGTTCCCCGTAGCTGGAGCGCCTGGCGCGGCTGGAGCACGTGGCACAGGTGGCGCACGTGGAGCATGTGCCGCACCTGCCACGCTCGGGCCTCCAGAGCGCCTGGTGCCCTCCTCCCTCCTCCCTCCTCCCTCCTCCCCTCCTCCTCCTCTCCCCTCCTCCTCCTCCTCCTCCTCCTCCTCCTCCTCCCTCCCTCCCTCCCTCCCTCCCTCCCTCCCTCCCTCCCGCACACCTGGAACCCGTGGCGCGCATGGCATGTGTGGCGTTCATCAGCGCTCCGCTGACACTCGGGTGTTTACGTGCTGGGAGGGCAGGTGGGAGCGAGCCAGACGGCCTGCTATATCTCTGGGTCTGGAGGGGGCGTTTCGCAAGACGCTGGGGCGTCCAAGATGACCTCGGCGAGGAATCCCAAATCATTGACTTCCACAGTTTGGCCACAGTCTGGCTTCCTGGGGGAGGCCCTAATCGGGGAGCTCCCCTCCTTTGATCGATCTCCTCTTAAAAGGGCCCGAAGCTGGCCCCCGAGGCTGCCAGGGGGGCCCCAAGATGGCTGCAAGATGTGCCCATGACGCCCCCAAGAGGGCCCAAGATGCTCCCAAGAGGCTCCCAAGAGCCTCCTGAGGGGGACCCTCATTAAGAGCCTCCCTCCTTTGACCGATCTACTCCAAGATGGCCCCCAGATGGCCCCCGAGGCTCCCATAGGTGCCCCAAGGGAGCCCTGGAGGCCCCAAGCGGCTCCCAAGAGGCGCCCAAGATGCCCCCAAGAGGCTCCCAAGATACTCCTAAGAGGCCCCCCAGAGGCACCAAGGACGCCCCAAGAGGCATCTGAGAAAAGCCCAAAGTCATTAACTTCATTCAGGTTTGGGCCACACTTTGGCCTCCTGGGGGGCCCTCACCAAGGAGGCCCCCTCCTTTGATCGATCTCCTCCAAGATGGCCCCCAGATGGCCCACGAGGCTCCCAGGGGTGCCCCAAAGGAACCCAAGAGGTGCCCAGGAGGCCCCAAGAGGCTCCCAAGAGGCGAACAAGATGCCCCCAAGAGGCTCCCAAGAGACCCCCAAGAGACCCCCCAGACGCCCCCCAGAGGCACCAAAGACGCCCCACGAGGACCCTGAGACAAGCCCAGCGTCATTGACTTCATTAAGGTTTTGGCCACACGTTGGCCTCCTGGGGAGGACCCTAATCTAGGCCCCCCCCCCCTCCTTGCAATCGATCTCTTCCATGGCCCCCGAGGCTGCCAGGCGCCCCATAGGGGGGCCTCAAGGGGTACCCCGGAGGCCCCACGAGGCCCCCACGACGCCCCCAGGAGGCGCCCAAGACGCTCCCAAGAGGTTCCAGGATGCCCCTCAGAGGCACCGACGACGGCTCAGAAGGCCCCGGGGACTGCCAAGAGCCCCCCAAGATGCCCCAGGAGAGCTCCAAGAAGCTCTCGAAAGAAAGCCGAAGAGGCTCCGAGAGGCTTCCAAGAGGCCTGTGGCCTTTCTGCTCGCCCTCCTCCTCCTCCTCCTCCCCCTCCTCCTCCTCCTCCTCCTCCTCCTCCTCCTCCTCCTCCTCCTCCTCTTCCTCATCCGCCTGTTCCTCCTCCTTCCTCCTCCCTCCTCCCCCATCCTCCTCTCCCTACTCCTCCTCATGCTCCTCCTCCGAGTCCTCCTCCATTCTACCCCCCTTGTGGCACGATGTCTTATCCAGCCCTTTGCTCCACTGCATTCTCCTCTACATCTTTGATCAGGGCAACTCGTCCGGGCATCGTTTCTGGATGGGCTGGTGGAGTTACGCGAAGCGTCTAGAATATGATTGCCTGAACATGAATGGATCTCAGCGTGAGTTAGACTGAATGTGAAAGGGGGGAGGTGGGAAGGAGGAGCATGGAGGAGTGAGTGAGTAGAAATAAATGCGGAGGTGCGGCAATGACAACACCAGCCCCATCGTCAGGACACAGGGGGAGTCGAGAGAGAATCGCGAGCGCCCGGCACCTTCTCCAACGAGCTCGGGCAGGAATCCCGCCGCGCGCTGGCAACACACCCTGCGCGAGCGCAGACGCGGGCCCCCCAAAACCACGTCTGCCATGGAGCGGCCGCTCCGCCGAGCCGGCCCCGTCGGCATGCCCCTCGCCCAGAGACGGGCGCTCCCCTCGCGGCCCCGGGGCGCCGCGCCCCGCGGCGCGCACGCGAGCGCCGCCCTGAGCACCAGGGGGCCTCCGTGCCGCTGGCCCGCTGCACCCCGCCGCCTGCGCTCGGGGCGACAGCGCCGCCCCCCCAGCAGGGGGCTCCCCAGCCTCGCCGCCCGCGCCAGCCCACGGCGCAACGCCGCCGCCGCTCGGCACCAGCGTGGCCGCGTCCGCGCGCGGCCCCGCCGGCCGCGGCGCTGCGGCAGCGGCCGCGGCGCTGCGGCGGCGTGGGCTGCAGCCAGTGCCGCTCCCGGGCCGGCCATTCCCAGGCCTTGCCATCGCTCGGACGTCCATTCCCTGTGCGTTTTTCGGTTTCGTGCGTGTTTTCGTTTGCTCGATGATCCAGGAATCCAGGATGCTCCTCCAGGGTCCTCGCCAAGAGGAACATGCACACGTCCGAGCGATGCCAGGAGGCTTGCCCCGCGGGCGTCGCGCGGGGCGCCCGTCGTCCAGGATCCCACCGGCACGCGGGCGTGCCGGCCAGTTCGCGGTGGGGTGGGTGGGCCGCGCCCAGCGCTGCGCCACTCGACCAGCGGCAGTGCTTGGAGTGCAGCGCGACGTTCTGGACAGGCCGCGCCGAGGGCGAGGTGCACGAGGAGGAGGAGGAAGAGGAGGAGGAGGAGGAGGAGGAGGAGGACGAGGAGAAGCGCGGGAGAAGGAGGAGGCGGAGGGCGGGAGGGGGGAGGAGGCAAGCGGCTGTGCGCGCCGCGCGCCTCCTTCTCTTCCCGCTGCGCCGCGCGCCTCCTCCCCCCCCTCCCCGCCTCCCGCCCCACGGCGGCACAGCCTCTGCCCTGCCCCTCTCCGCCCGCGCAAAAGCCCCCTCTCCCCTCCGTGCCCTGCCTCGGCTTCTGCTGCTGCGCGGCCTTCCCCCCTCCCCGCCCCCCGTCCCACGGCGGCACAGCCTCTGCCCTGCCCCTCCTCGCCCGCGCAGGTGCCCCCTCCCCTCCGTGCCCTGCCTCGGCTGCTGCTGCTACGCGGCCTGCCGCCGCTCCGCTCTGGCAGACCCCAGGGGGGCGCCGCCGAGGGCGGCGCGCGGACGCCGAGCGCGCGGACGTCGAGACCTTCCTCCTCCTCCCTCCTCCTCCTCCTCCTCCTCCTCCTCCTCCTCCTCCTCCTCCTGCACGACGGGAGGGCCGCCTCCCGAGCTGCACGCAGCTGCACGGGGGTCGGATCCTTCGCCGGGCCGGCCGCTTTTTCCCTGCCTCCTCCTCTCCTCCTCCTCCTCCTCCTCCTCCTCCTCCTCCTGCTGCTGCTCCTCCTCCTCCTCCTCCTCCGTGCCTGCCGCGGGGCGCGACGGTGAGCACAAAGGCCGCGCTGCGGACGAGGGAGATGGCAAAACTGGAGCCCGCCAGCACGGAGCACTCGACCTGTTGCTGACACCTGGCATATTGACCTTCTGGTGGCAGAGTTCCGTGCGACCTGCTGGGGCTGTGGCCCCACCCCACTCATCCCTGTGAGTGCCCGAGGGAGAGGAAGGACGGAGGGACAGAGGGAGGCAGATAGAAGTAGAGGGTACAAAATGACTTTCAGCGAAGGCTTCGCTTCGTCTAGTCCAGCTTGAGGCCATCCTTTCTAGCCGCGTTGTAGCCCCTCCCGAGGAGCTTCAACACCTCATCGATGAGGATCACGGGCACGGAAAACGCCATCACAAGAACCCAATCATGCGCATCAAGGGGGCACACACCGAATATCTTCGACAAGACAGGGACGTACAAAATGAGGACGTGGACGAAAATTGAGAAGGAGGACGCCACAATCAGATAAGGGTTCGCCCACGGCGGCATCTGAACCAAAGAGCCATCCTCTGAAAGGGCGTTGAACGCATTCAACATTTCGATGACGACGAGCACTGTCAACGATAGTGTCGAAGCCTTGACCTTGCCCGCCTTGAAGTACGAGCACGGATTGGCATCGAACTTCATGTCCATGAAGGGGGCAACCCTGAAATCGGACCAGGTGTCGCACTGGTTCCAGGTCATGAGCTGAGGAAGGGTGACCAGCGTGTGTCCGTCGGCAGCCTCGTCGTAGCAGTACCAGTACACGAAGATCCCCACCACGGCGAGGCCCACGTAGAAGCCGACGACGCCGTACCGGACGAAGGACCAGTTCGAGATCAGGCTGTCGTCCTTGCGACGCGGCGGCTTGTCCATGACGTCCAGGTCCGGGGGGTTGAAGCCCAGCGCCGTGGCCGGCGGGCCGTCCGTCACCAGGTTCACCCAGAGCAACTGCACCGAGGAGAGGCCCTCCGGGATGCCGATCGCCGCGGTGAAGAAGATGGAGGCCACCTCGCCCACGTTGGACGAGATCATGTACCGGATGAAGGCCTTCATGTTGTTGTAGATGGACCTGCCCTCCTCCACGGCGGCGACGATGCTGGAGAAGTTGTCGTCGGCGAGGACCATGTCCGCGGCCTCTTTGGCCACCTCGGTCCCAGCGATGCCCATGGCGATGCCGATGTCTGCCTGTTTCAGGGCAGGGGCATCGTTCACGCCGTCCCCGGTCATGGCTGCTATCTCCCCAAGCTGCTTCAAGATCTTCACGATCATCTGCTTGTGGCGTGGCTCGGTGCGCGAAAACACGGCGCCCTCTGTCCCCCGCTTGGCCACAATCCTGCTGAGCAGGGCCTCCTTCTCCTTCTCTGGCAGGTCCTCGAACTCCTTCCCCGTGAAGGAGCAGCCCTCGTGGCTCCCGCCGCTGGACAGGATCCCGAGGTTCCTGGAGATCGCCTCGGCAGTATCCTCTCGGAACTGCACGCAAGAATGACCCTGGGTGAGAGTGACCTCTGGGGCGCGGCTCAACGGGGGACGCGGGGTGGCCAAGGCCGGGCGCTCGAGCCGCTGCTGCCGCTTCGCGCTCCGCGATCGGGGGAGCCCTCTGGGCCCGCACCAAAAGGCCACTCCGGCGAGAGGTCACCCTTGCGTGCAGCCGATCCTTGTTGTCCCCCGTGATCATGATCACGCTGATGCCGGCCTGGCCGCAGGCAGCGATGGCGGGCCTGCACTCCGGCCGGGGCGGGTCCAGAATGCCGACCAGCCCTAGGAACGTCATGCCGCTCTCGAGCCTGACGAAGCTGGACGGGTCGGCCAACAGCGCGTGGTCCGGATGCGACGGCCCGTTGTACGTCCTGAGCTCCGCCAGGTCGCCTCGGGTGGCGAAGGCGATGGTGCGGAGCGCGCTGGTCGCCATGCTCTGGATCTCCGCCGTGATCGTGGCCCGCCACGCGTCGGTGAGGTCCTCGACCGTGCCGTCGGGCAGCATTACCGTGGAACACCGGGTCAGCATCACCTCCGAAGCGCCCTTGACGTAGAGAGAGTTGCCCGCCCCCTCGGTCCCGTACAGGACGCTCATAGACTTGCGGTCGCGGTTGAACTCGAGGACGGCCTGCTTCGTGAGGCCGGCGCTCCAGTACTCCGAGAAAGCCATGGCGTCCGCCCTCGCCCGCTTGGCGGCCTGATGACACCTGCCGTTCAGCGCCTGGTCTGGGCACCCGAGCTTCTCCACGAGCACGCGGATCGCCG